CATCACAAAATCAGTACTATTATCCGTAAAATTACAAATTGAACATCTGTTGGCAAATCCATAGCTTTTATTTTGCCATAGTTTTCAAATTGTCAGTTCTACAAACACGTTATAAAATGTCTGTTATAGATATTAGCTTTGGTGTGCCACCCCTGATTTTTCAGTGCCCCCCGCCACCCCAATGGCCCCACTGAAAAAAATTTCTGCAGGCACCACTGATTTGAACATCAGAGGCTCGAAGTGTTATGTACGAGCTGCAGAGGATGACTTGTGAGTCTGCGGAGGTCTCGGGCTGAGTCCGATCCAGCCAAACATTCAGCTTCAACAAACAAAACCTTGAGGGCTATAGCCTGAGGCAGCAACAAGAATTATTTATGACGACGATGCAAATAAAATAGATGTCTCTGCTCAGAAATAAAGAAAAGTTTGTGTTTATTTTCTTTTTTCTTGGTGTCCAAAAACTGGTTACAGCAGCTAATAGAAGAAGGCATTAGCATGAACATTCACTTAATTCAAAATGGCTTTTTATCAACTGAAAGCTGTGTTTATAACCAAAAAATCATGACTTTTTTAATAGAAAATTGGGTAACGCTTAGTCATATCAGCAGGTTTTTTATGCAATACTAAAAGCGTGAATGACTACTATTTGCCCCCAGGCCAACRATTGATTCAAAAGCTGCTTTTAGTCAATGAGCAAAGGTTGAATTCACCTGAAAAAGTCTGCTTCTTTACCAACAAACAGGTGCAACTTTGTCTACGTGTGCTTATCTTCCAGAGCACATGGACTCGGTTCATTCATGGAGTTTTTGCTTTGAAGCGTTGCTGCGAAGATCAATGAACGCTGCTGCGWTCTGCTGCTTCCAGCAGATTTCACTGGCCTTGACATTCAGCATGAAGTTAACAGGCATAACATAAATAGTGTTAGATATTAGTTTGGCACGTCTCTGAGCTGGTTTTGATGAGAAATGTCAATATCTACTAGTAAAAGCTTCACAGGTATTTTGAATAATTTAGACTTTTTTGCATTTTCAGTGGATAATCGTACAAAATAAGACACCCAAAGGCAAYGTTTTGAACCCTTCTGAGCCTGTTTTGTTTGAAGTTATTTTAGGCCCTAAAAAAAAATCAATGTTTAATTAAGAATAGCTTCAATGAAATAAAATGAATGAATGAGCTCAGTCTTCCTTTGTTGTTCAATTTGGGATTTTTGCTGATATGTATGTTTTTGCATAATATGTTCTTCATGCTTGAAAAMGTTTTATTTAATGTATATTTTTATATTATAACAATATCTGGTATGTAACTACATAGTGTGTACTCACCAGGCAGCAGCATCACGACCAGCAGCGTGGTGATCAACACACCGCAGAAACACCTCTGTTCAGCCATGACTGGACTCCTTCTGCCCCTGCTAAAACCAAACATACAAGTTAAAATAAAAACTTTTACTCTGAAATGATGTATGTTTTTGTGATCTTCTGTGCCTTCATTTTTCCCCACGGTTAACGTGACTATTTTGTCATTTAATCTAAAACATGGTTGTATTCTTTAGCAAAAAAAAGGTCTCACAAGTTTTCCTTCCTTTCTTTGCTGGTGTTCACCTGGCCCCACAGGTGAGGTGAACTCTTTAATGGCTCCTGGTGGTTTTGAAGCCACTGACCCGTCCTCATTAGCAAACCAGATGTATTTTTCTCTCAAATCAGCTTTATTTGGATTTTTAAACCCTGGAAATTAAAGTACAGTAGCCACACATTTGACCAGCTTCTCTTACCTTGTGTTTATTTTATACTGACAGGTCCGGCACAGGTCTGGACTCTGGAGACTCCAGGTGTCTTTGGGCTTTGGTTCTAGTCGGGACTCCTTGTCCTCAAGCCCTCCTTGCAAAATGTACAGATTTAAAGATCACACAAGGTTTTAAACTGAGCCCATTTTCTCTGCCACACACTAATGAACACATAGACCACCTGAGGGGTGGGGGGGGGGGTCTAGGGGCTATACCTCAACAAGATGATTGGCTCACAGTTTTGGCCAATGAGACGTCTCGGAGGAACGGTAATTAAAGACAGGAGAAAGGAGACGTGGAAGATTTGGTGAAAGTTGCTTTTGTTGTTTTGTTTGTTAAGTTTAAGGCACGTTAATGATTAAAATACAAATCTTGCATCCATATTTAGGAGCAACAGTAGCTTTTAAACAAGCAAAACAAAAAGAAGAGAGATTAAAGGAAACAYGAGGAAATAATGACATATTTTCAAGGTGCCACCTCAGCACTTTTCAGGGACCTCATGGAGGGTCAAACCACTGAAAACACAGTAAACCTGCACAGCTGGTCCACACATGAGGAATTTGATAATCTACAGTTTCCCTCAGTTAAACTGTGTTCAGGCTTGTCGGCCTTCGTAAGAAACAGAAACACAACCAGTGGACAAACTCACCACTGTGATTCAACATCCCCGAATGTGACAGGAGACAGCTGTAATTCCCTTAGAATTGTCTGAAAAGTTATGAGTTTTAAATCTGGGCCAGATTCAGATGTGGTTTTCTTAGTTTTAAGATGATTCAACCTGAGAAACATACATTTTTCTTATAACAAATGTGATTCAATCCTGAATAAATTGCCTATTTTTAGGCAAAAGTGGTTTTAAATGTTGCTCTATAGTACAGCTCAGAGAGAATATGCTGCTGTTTTCTACTTTTAGATGAATTCAGGTTTGGATAACCACTGTAATGTGATCATTAATCATCACACAAAAGTCCAATAGCTTCACTGATTAATCTAAAATTACATTAGACATTTTTTGGGGTGTGGGGCTAACTTTATTTTATGTACATTTCATTATATTGGGTATGTGAAATGGAGAAACTGCTAATTGAACCTTGAAAACACAGAAACAGATAATTTAATCTAAAATTTGTCATCATCAAATTAAGAAAACGTGAATTTAGGTCGGGCCCTATTATTTTTACACAATGCATGATCAAGATTTAGTGAAAGTGTCCTGAAAATATAAAATAAAAATGATTGTGAAAGCATTTTTAATCCWGTGGAACCACTGGTTATAAGCAAAGAATACAACAAAGAACCAGATGATTTTTGAACATCTACAGTGGCTGCAGCACATAAATCACTGACAAATTTTAATCTTTACAATAGAAAACTGTTAAGTATTGCAATTTAAATGAACCTTATCCAAAAACTGACTTAATTATTCAACAGACCCAAATCCAATGTATCATGAACAAATTTTAAGTAAATAAAACATGTGTTGGATGTTTTTTTAGGGTGCTGACTTTTACAAACTCAAATCATGTTGATGAAAGGTTTTCCATTTAGTTTAATCTAACAGCACTTTGGGTCATTTTCATTGTACTATAGCAGAATGTAGACACTCCAATTTTTGAAATTCYTTTTAAATAGGTGCATTTCTGTAAACTGTTGTATGTTACACATTTTGTGAATGAAAACCCACTAAAATTTGAACACGAACAGCTGCAGAATCCAAAAAAAAAAAAAAAAGACATTTTAACATTAATTAATGATGAGGTAAAAAGTGGATTCCTTGTTTATCTACTTAGGAACTTAGTTTATAGGAACAGCTCACTTAATGTCAAATTATTTTCTCCAACGAAGGAATGGGTTTTAAAGATTTGAGTTCACACGATACTTCTGATTTTGAAGCTCTGACAAGTTTTTTATTATACAGTTATTAAGAAATGGATTACAGTTTAAAAGTAATGATCAAAAGTCAACATCAGAGTCAAACCTGTTTGAAGCTCATAGCTTAATGGTAGAAAACATTTCTGCAAGCAGGATCTGTTGAGTTCAGGCTTTTTAATGATTAAACAATCTGTTTTAAATAACAACTGCATGCAATTTTGTTTTTTACTTCTTTTATTTAAATCCACAATCACCTGAATCATTTGGGGAAAAGTCAGTCTCTAAACTTACTTCAAGACAAAAACAACAACAAAAAAAAAATCAATAAGAAAATATATCAGTTTTATTTCTTATACTTAGGTGCTCTGTACCTCAGCTTTGTATTTTTCCTGCCCGGTTGTCTCATGACTGAATATTTAGACCATGTTAGATTGAATCTTGTGTGTAATTATGTTTGCTAACAGATGTTTTACCTGAATCCACAAACCTTCAATCCAGGCAGGAGCAGGCTCAAACACGACAGCCTCAAAACCATCATAATTTTCTCCGAAGCAGGAATTTAAGAGACTCTCAGAATTCACAAACAGCTGAGGGGTTTTTTTTTGTGTGTGTGTGTGTGTGTGTGTGTGTGTGTGTGTGTGTGTGTGTGTGTGTGTAGAAAACATAACGGCTTTATTTTATTATGGTTGCTGAATCACATGTAAGAGAGAGGAGGCTGTACAAGTAAGAGAGTAATTATGGGAAGAGGCGGCAGCCCCGTGTTCTTCTTCGCTTCTTTTTATGCACTCGTTCACAGAATCCCACGGACGTTCGGATGCTGCGATCACTGCAGGTCGTCGTCGTCGAAGAGGTCCTCGAAGTCTGCGTGATGGAAAGCAGAAACGGGCGGGAGGGGAAACAGGAGAGGAAAAAAWAAACAAGGTTGAAATGAGTCCAGCTGTTTTCCTCAAACACTCCTACATTCTCAGCTAATTTCTGCTGCGTATAATAATAATGACACAAAGACACTCGGCTCAAATGAGCTCAAACTTCCATAGCTGGCTGCTATCCAGGAGGGTCCCCCACTTACATTGTTTGCACTTTTAACAAGGCAACCTTGTGAAAGCTACTCCTGTGCCACCCACGTACATTTATTATAGTTATATAATCTGAAAAACTCAAGGCAATGCTTCGCCTCGTGGCACAAAGACAACACTTAGAAACAATGGAAGCCTTTAAAACAGTTTTCTGGGAAGCTCTTCTGTTTGCTCATTAAAACACCACAATTTCTGTTGAACAGATTCTTTTTTTAATGTATAGATCTTACAAAGTATTTTTTACAGAACTTTTAATTGAGAAACTAATTGGCAGGAAAATCTATAGTATAAAAAGAAAACAACAGTTGCAACCTCGTAGTGTGATATTTAAGGTCGGAGAATGTTCTTGTCATCCTTTTGTTCTTTCTGATATACCAGATTAAATAAAGACTGGAATCTGGATGGGATTAACCCAACTGGGACAGGTCACTGGTTGTTACCAAACAGAGCAAGTGCTCTGATCTAATCATTGGGTTTAATTACTAAAACATCAGATGCTAGGAAGGTGGCTGCTTGAATGTAAACACAGCACTGTGGTTTCGTTTTGTCATGCAGCGTCTCTGTAAACTGTTTAAAATGTTTTAATTGACTAATCAAGCATTATTTTCAAAGAGAAATGTCCTAATGAGCTTACTCTTTAACATATGAATGGAAATAAATGGGAACAATTTGGAATCTTTTCTTTCAGTTCTGTTTAAAGCCATAATAGTTGGTAAAATATGCAGTTTTGATCTTTACTTCTGCATTAAAAATGATGGTTTGGAGGTTAATTTCATTAAAACTTGCCAGGGTTTTTAGTAATATTTGAAAATGCCGTAACCTAACCTTTGTTTATTACTATTAAGTACTAAAATCCTTTAATAAAACTGGTTTTGAATTAGTCCATTTATCCTGAAATAAAGCGGCAGTAAAAAGTCAGGCTGATGGATATAAACTACTTTTTGACACACCACCATCTTTCTATAATCACATACCAGCCATCTGAAATGTAATCAAAACCTAGTCAAAAGTTTGAGGCAGTTAGTTGCTCTAAAAGTACTGTAGAAAATATAAAGAAGAAAATGTTTAAAACCTTGTATTGATATAAAACTGACAGTGGTGGGCAGCGCTAATCCAAAAATTAGCTCTGCAAATTCTAAAGCGCTTACACCATAGCAAAACTAGCGGAAGCTAATTTTAAAACACAAGTTCAATTTGACACTTACTAGCTGGCAACAATTCATGTACAATATATGCACAACACTGCCAACTAGCGGTGTATGAACCCCTTTACAGTGTAATTCTACAACCGCCGATTGCTGGGGATGTGATTTSCTGAAACAGACCTTTAGCTCCTGGTGTAAAAATCAAAACGTTGTTGAGGATTGCTAGTTCGGCTGCTTCTTTGTCTTTTTCTTTTGTTTGTTGTAGATTTTTCATTAAAGAAGCATCAATAAACCAATTTTAAAACTGTTTATTGGAAAACTGAAGCGATGCATTCTGGGTACATGACAAATTTGATTTGTGATAGGGAAACAAAAGCACAGAGAACAGGAAACTATCTTCCCTTCAAAATAAGAGCTTGGATTTTAAAGTTTTCCATGTAATTGCTCCAGTTGACCACTAGATGTCAGTCTTCATCAGCATAATATCTTTAAATCATTTCTGCGTCTCTAACCCCGTTGCTTCGACAAATTACGTCATGTATTGAGCTCCAGCGTTTAAACTTTTTTTTTAAAAGGAGCTCCGATTGTAAAGTAAAATAAATCAATACAAACAAAATTTTAGTATGGATTACAAACATTAACTGTTTTAGCTGGGACAGGGAGTTCTAAACACTGCCTTCCTGCTACGTAAGCAGACACAAAGCATTGTTGGAAATGAGAACCGTGACCCAAAGCAACAGTCAGCAAGGATGTATAACTTTCCAATAAGTGTGTTACCATACCTTCCGCTGTTCAAGATAATGATGACTGGTAGATAATTAGTTATTAGCTGTACTGCATTTTAATTTTAGAAAGTGCAAATCCGCTTATGGATTATAAAAATTAGTAAGACCGCTAAAGCACAAATGAAATATTTAGGTCCGCAATTAGCGGATTTGTGCTTTAGCGGGCTGGTGCCCACCACTGATAACTGAACAAGCTTAGGGCGAAGCTGCGATGTGTCCTTGCATATTTAGCTTGAAAACTGCATACACGTCTTACAATCTGGTGGATCAAATGTCACCCTGCTTCTTTTTTTATTCACAACGTAAACCAAACACATCGATCAGATTTTCAACCAGTTGACGCTGGTTAGAAAAAGARGGGACATGGCAGGCTGCAGACCCAACCAGCAGGATCTAATTAACACTAACTCTGTAGTGGCTCCGATGAGTCCGCGCTCTGCTGGTGGTAAAAACACGTCGCTCTGCAGCAGCAGACCACATGTCAGCCGAGGGGCTCTGACTTCTCTGGAGAATCAGCTGATTACGTGACACAGCAGTTCATCAAAGGTGTCAGATTGGCATTTTTGTCCATTCTGCAGCCCGTCTCATTCTCAGGTTGTAGATCGCAAACGTTAATAAGGGGAGGAGTTAAAAACGGTGCAGCCTGCGCTCAGCCACTTCTAGTTATTTTAAAGCTAATAAGTCGCATCATTTTATGCGATTACTCTAAGTGGCGCACTAGTCAAATACTTAAAAGAGCAAACTTTTGAGCTTGTCAAGTTTTAGATGACCAAATGATGTGAAGGAGCTCRGACGTGTGCAGGCGTTTTAAAGTAGCTGACTGGCGAGGTGTCCTGTGGAGTTTCAGTCTGAAAGCAGCTATAAACTCGTTTTACCATCCTCCTGTACCCCCCTCTTCTTTTTAACAATCAGCAATTTTCTTTTTAGGCCATGTGCTGCTGAGCCAAAACTGTTCAACTTGGAGCCAAAAAACATTAGTTTGGTGTTTTGGGGCATCCTCCATGTCATGTGTTATGTTTGTATATTATTTGGTGTTTAGAGGGGAATATATTAATTTTTGAGGATTAATGTGGAAAGATAATTTGCTTAGGGAGAACAAATAAATCACATGTTTACAGTGAAACTCCTGTTTGCCTAGAGCTTATGTTCCTACCTAAAAGTCTGTCATGGAAATACCACTGGGACAACTTGTTTTGGTTAATTTGGTCCATACGATTCTTAATGGTCAGATGACGCTGATGATTTACTTCAGGGTTTTTTTTTTTTTTGAAGTTACACTTCAAAAATAAATTTAAAGACAAGTTCCTCAAAATTATGTTTCCGCTTTGATACTCTCACTTGTTAACCATTTGTGCGCAGAATCACACTGATTACGTAGTTATTGTTGAAAGAAAAAATAAATATAAAAACAACAAAAAAGACTGAAATAACTACACATAAAATACTTACTTATAACGTACTTTTGCATTTTATACATCTCTATCAGACGTCCCGTGTTTGACTGATTTGGRCTGAACTACAGGAAAGAAAAAAGGGAATCTATGCGTGTTCTGTWACAGTTTGGGTAGAACACTTGGGACTTACCGTTAAAAAAATCTGAATGCACAGCTTTTTCATTTGCTGCCAGGTCCATCAGCAGGCCGCTGCTGCCCCCTGCCTGTAAACACACYGCAAATACAAAACAACATGGGCAAAGCCTGTTTACATGTTTCATCGCAACGTTTATAATTATTAGACAAGAAAATCAGTATATTGTTGCTTCACTGCATGYAAATAAAGTAGTCTGTGACAGCAGATCCATGTTTTTTTATATATATAGATTTGATAATTATTCAAACATTCTAGGTTAAGATGATCATTATAAARATGGTCAATTATATCTGTAGTAATAACTCTTCTGTGCTTATAATAAGACCGGAAGCACAATTTAATAATGATAGAAGCTAAAGGTCATTTTTATTGCATGACAAGTCCTGTGTTGTTCTTCTGAAAACTGTATTTTGTATGATTTCAGTTACTATCTGAGCATCTAGCAAGTCATCTACAGTCTTAAGGTACAGCATGCGTTGCTCTCAGTATAAATATTAAAAATAAATTACTGTGGAAAAAACAGGTTACACTAAGTACAATGTTTGATTTATCTTTAACAATCTGCTCAACTGTTCTACATCGAATACGCCGGCTTTCTTTAACACCACTTGACATTAGCATTAGTATGTTTATMTCCGCTAAAACTTATTTTAGCTGTTTGTACTTGGACGAACCTCGTCCAGGTCCACGTAGGGTCCAGCTCCCTCAGGAAACATCTCGTCCACTGCAGGTTTCATCTCGACACTGACGGTTCTGTCTTTTCGACGAAGCTCGCAAGGGTTTGCAGGTTAGCTAGGCTAATCCCCGGTGCTCAGTTGTGTACGACGCTAATTTGTGTCCGGCTCACACAACAAGACACGACTTTCTATCCGCTGTCCAATTAACTCAAAAACTGACGGAACCATTTTTATCGTGTTGTTATAACCAAACGAATGTCAGTATTTCATAATACAGTTAGATAATACAGCTTATGACAGTAAAATTATCTATCAAAAGGGAATTTGGCAGCTTTTCGTTTTTCATTGTCATTAAATCCATAGCTTTGATGTCTTAAAAAAACAATAAATAAATTAAATGTTTTAATTGTATTTATTTTTAAGATTATTCAGGAAAACCCCAAAAACAAGTATTTATTAATTTATTTATTTTAACTCGTCATTGGACTGGTGACCTGTCCAGGTTGTCCCTGCCTGCCTTATGCTCTGACTTTGAGCATAGGATGAAGCAGATTTGGAACATGCAAGGAGGATTTCTTGAACATTACAAGCAAAACGTTTTATTCATTTATTACACTACATGAATGTATTATGCAACTAGTCTAGATCTTGTCTTAAAGTTTATCCAACAAGCACATTTTCTAAGCAGGGAAAATAATCAGCTCTGTTTCTATCCCTTTCTTTAAACTCTTCTTTTCCTGGCTGCCTCCTCCCATCTCAGTGCTCGTGCCCCTCATTGGTCTCGTATCCCAGGGTGTTTCCCAGGTGCTGGTGGGCGAAGAAGGCCCGGGCCATCTCGTTGATCTGGTTGTATGCTCCAATAGACCTAAAGTACTCAACGTAGTTCCAGAAGTCAGAGGTGGAGTAAGGCCAGTAGGGAGCAGCTGCAGGCTCGTCATATGGCACTGATGGGGATACATAGATAAGAATGAAATGAGTTTTGAAAAGTCATCTTCTAAACATCCAATCAAAAGTCTGAGCAATTTTTCATCTATCTTCCTTAATTTTTCTTAATAAATTTATACTATTGGGTATGTTTGTATGGATTGTTAACAATCATGTATCTTAGATTTATATAATTAATGTAGCAGAGAAATAAAAAAAGGTAGTTTTGAAGGTGTCCATTAGAAAACAAAGTGGTTTATTTTGTACAGTACCTCCTTCTGGGATGACTCTGGCCTCTGTAAGGAAGCGAAGAGGGGAAAAAATTTAACGTTCACAAACATTCCACAGCTTTTCATGAACAAAGAAGGGATTCAGGACTAAAACTGCAGGGATACCTGCTTCCTCCCTCAAATATTATCACTGACTTTTCACACACACGCTCAAATACACAAACTCTCTAAGCCTGAAGGAATTTATAAATTCAGACAGACTTCTCTATTCATCACAAAAAATTTATTTATTTATAACGAAATAAAACCTGTTGATCCAGACCATTATTTATAACCACTGGTAATTTTATCAACAATTCTACAAACTCATGCAGAACTTAACCCAACATGTCAATGAGTAAAAACAGTTAAACTATTACTTTATGTTTCATCTTTTAAACTATATTTAGATTAATAAAAAAATACACGTTTTTTTTTTTTTTTCAGATCAAAAACTCACCTCCAAGACGACAGGCAAATAAGCAGAGAACACKGAGGCACACCAGAAGCTTCATCTTGTCCTTCTAAATAAACAAAAAATAGTCATRTATTTTCAGATTTGGTGGTCTTTAACAGATTAATATCCCTATTGGAAGCTAGAAAAAAGTYAACACATAGGTGCTTACCTGCTACGCTGTGTGAGGAGATTCTGCAGCTCGGTCACTCAGTCAGGGTTGGTGTGTGGGACTCAGAGGAGGATGAGGTAACATGGAGCTCACACAATCACACACACACACACACACAGACACAACCACACACATAAAATCTCAATTAATCTGAAGGACAAATCCACACAACAGTTTAAAATCCTTTAGTTAAAAGCAACGGCAAACAAAGCTTTATATTAAGATGTGATTGTGGTCAGAAAAGGTTCAAATCTGAGCTGAGTGTTCCACAGGTGAGGGCCATAAAAAACTAAATGCAACTTCACCACGTTTAGTTTGGATTTGTGTAACTGAGAGGTCTGTGTGATCAGTGTGTAAGATGATCTGTGGAGCTGAGCAATTCAGTGATTTATGGACAAGAAGTAGTTCTTTTTTAATACAGCGGGTAAAATAAGTATTGAACACGTCAA